ATTACGGTGGCCAATTTACCATTTCAACTTTGTTGATATATCCAAATTATTTCGTTACTCCCACCGACGCAGCTCCAAACAGTTTCTTTCGAAACTATCAGCCTTTACTCAGCTGATAAAGTCATGTAATCTTCAAATAATATACACTCAGATGGTTAATTATAGCAGTTCGCGGCCAACTTCTTTGCGTGATTGCCATAGCTACAAGTCAAGGTAAACCTTTGAAGCCTAGCGTTGGTTATGAAAGTCTTCAGAAATTAAAATGCGACAAAACTGTCAAACACAACGCTGTCAAAAAGGTCGACTCTGACAATTATATGTGAAAAAAGAGTAAATATTACCCAACCCAATAATGACAAAGATTCAAATAACATTTGTGCAGCTGCTCTCTTCATCCTTTCATATCAAAGAAGGTTCTTTTAAATACCAAGCCAAGAAAGCAAAATGATAAGGACTATTCCCATTTGAAATTGCTGATTTACATCTTAAAAAATTGAAAAGACTTTCCAAGTATGCGTCAGTCTGAACAACTGAAATAAATGTTTATCTTGATATTGACGGCACAGTTCAGTGAGTGCATATTATTGATTTTCGAACACAAGTATTCTTTGCGATTGTGACTGTCGATCTCATGTTCCCTTCCTGTAAATCATGACAAGGTTCGAGCCATGATTACAGTTTAGCTGCCGAGATTTTTATTGTATTGCTTACTCTTACCGTTTTGAAAGTTTATTGTTATCATTATTATTATTATTATTATTACTATTATAGTTTATTATTACCTGTAAAAACTAATTACATGAGAAGCAAATAAATAAGTACGGATCGGTTTGTCTGGCGGGGATCCAAAGCTGCTTCCGTTCTTCTCAGATTTAATTAAATCACCAAAAAATTACGATAACCCTCTATCTAATAGTGAAAGAAAAGATGCTCAAATTTTGCATCGCGACAATCTGCAAGATTTGCGACAAGAGCTTCCGTCGATTTAGACAGGGTCTGCCATAAAAACGAGAATCAAGAAACCATATCTGATTTAGTTTGCTCTTAATATCACGAGGAAGCCATATTGGACGTTAATTAATTTGTTCGTTGAATGATTGATTTATTCATTTATTATTTTTTTCACTTATTTGCTAGTTCGCTCAATCCTGGAACTTTTTAAGTTAAGTATCGTTTTCACTCCCCGCCTTGTCATTGCAAATAAATGAGTTCAATAAACAATACCTCATGATAATTTTTCTTATCAAATGTTCGCTAGCAGGATATTTCTGAGCATTTCACTGTCTGATTATAAAGTCAACACGACTAGATTAGGTGACAGGCAAAAACTGTAATTATGTAGAGTTTAGAGATTACCAAGCTCGGTAAGAGAAATCCGTTTTGATTTGTCGTACTAAGAGCGGACTATAGTGAATTAAGAGCTTGCCCACGAGAGCACCAGGCAGTCGTGATACATGCCATCTCCACGACCCACGACCCACTACCATTAGTCAAACTCACTTTTCGATTCACTTAAACATTTGGTAACTTTGAGATCAAATATCTCCCCTTGCCAGAAAGCTACAACACTAACTTGAACGGCTCTTTCTAGTCCATTATTTCATTTCTGAAAATCATTAAAAAAATCTTTCGGCACTGCCATATTTTTGTCTGGAATGCCTTTTGAAATCTGCAACTGTGAAAGCTTCTCTCAACTACACCTGTCACGCAATTCTAGCTGTAGGCAGATATTTTGGTAAGTATACCATCATTTTACAGCTCATTAAACAAGATAATTAATCAAGGAAGCTAAGAAATGTAAGCAACTTTCCAGATTCTCGGTAGAAATTGGAAATATCACGTTTAAAGAGAGGCATGTGGGCGAAATATTGACGGGGGAATCGTAGCGTTTCTCCCTTGTGTCGTTTATTTAGGAGATTTGATAAAAATAGGCAAATATGGCTTTCTTACGGCAAAAAAAATTTTGTTAGACTTTGATTTGATTGTTTATCATCACAGTTTATAATCAAGAGATTGTAACAGGAGAGGATATTTTAAAGTCACATGCCGCATTCTTCTTGACATACAAGTTTCCGTTTGCAGTACAGACGAGAAGCTCTGCCTTCTCGCTTGAAAGGAAATTTCAGTAGCTATGTTAAATCAACAAACTGCGCTATTATTCCAGAAAATAAAACTAGAATGGTGTTATAGTTGTCACTTACTACTATCGAACATTTTCATGCAGAACTTGGCCGAACTAGAAATCTGTGGCGTGACTTGGAAACGTTTCATGGAGACATGAACTTATTCACGCGCGTTGTTCACGCTGTCTACCAAGGAACAACTTTCGAAAATTCTGCAGATCTCTTTGCTATTGGCTTGTCTGTTGATAAAAAAAAATCTGCATTTTTTTTAAAAACATGCTGTAACTACATGAATAAAATAAGCATCTCTCTCGTCCTCGATCTTAGCTACGTGACTTAAAGAATTAGGCCCCGATATTTTGATCGGTAGCTCTGCGCAAGTTTCCATTCAAGTTGGGTAATGAAAAAAATTCGAAAAAATATCCAGTTGTTTTCGGAAGCATGACAATAAATTTGAGCGAGAAGCGAGAGGCAAAGGTCTGTATTTTTAGTAACGCAATGGTAGCTGTGCCCTACCCTGCGGCCTTCGATTAATTTTGCCTCTTCACATATACTAAAAAGTTACGAAAATTGAATCACTTGCGGACTCATGGAGAGTCTGAATAGGGCTAACTGCAAACTGAACGATGGTTGTAAATTCTCACGATTAGCTGAGCTCTTTTTGCTCGCAAATTAAACAACGGATTACAATGCGCAATTGATAAAAAATTTACCTCCGGCAGCTGGCAACTGAAAGAGCCTGGACAAATAAATAATCTAAAGTTCAAGGCCCCACCTTATCTGCTGCCTTGTTTGATCATTTTCGACATCTAATAACGAAAGGTTTAGAAAAACACTTCAGAATAAAAATTAGCGATATTAAAACATGACGTTAAATAAGAAGAAAGTGTGAAAATACATATTAATGAGGTGAAAATAAACAAAAAGAATGAACATTATTAATTACAAAGTTTCGCTGGTATGGAGTCTTTTTGAGTGTTAAGAGTCGGTCTCTTTTTCTTTATGAAAAGCATCTCATAAACAAGGTACTCAAACTTTCCGCGACATTTCTTTAAGACGGTAAATTGCTCATGAAGATTGTCCGGTGTTAGATTCTGTTCGTCCTTGAGATTTTTACCTACGACTGAATATCTGAGGCTAAATTATCCGCATCATCCTCTTCGTCCTCCGTCATGCTTGCAGCAGGGGACCTCTGTAGTAAACCAGTTCTGGTTAGGGCAGATAGTCGGCTGAAGTATCGACCAATCTGCTGCTCTGTCAACCACTCAGTCCTGGAGAACATTTTCTGGCCAGTGTCGTCTCTTAAACTCTTCATTTGGGAAGCCACATCTGATGCTGATGCCTTCTTAAGAGTTTCCTCCCTTGTCCAGTAGACGTCTACGAGAAAATTATTTGCTTTCTGACAGAAGTTAACTACTTTCCGTGTTTTCCGAAGGGCCCATCCGAAGTCCACCTAGGATTGTTCGTCCTGGTCTTTGGGTGAGGTCTGACCCTGAACGTAGCCAACAACTACGGAATGGACAGTCTCCATCCATTTTCTCTTGATCGTGTCGTAGGCGGATTCTTTTGTCAGCTTCACCAAGTGTTTGCCGATGTCAAGGTGCTTTTGAAGGGCAGCGAACTAATGAAACACCTTGATACACCCTTCCTCTTGACAAGAAATTATCTAGTTTTCTTCTTCTGCCTGTGACAGATTGGGTAGTTCTCGTGATGGCCCAGGTTCAGGACATCTGCGCAGGATGCAGCTAACTACCTGCTTCTACGTTTGGGTTGCTGAAGGTTTCCATTGTGACGAGCCTGGTGGGGCCCTGGGTTGTTCCAAACCGTGCCAGCTGGTCTGCGCTATAAAACTTTCCACCTCCAATATCATAAGCACGCCACATTCTCAAGCCTCTATTCTCGTGCGACAAATTATTCAATGCCTGTACGCTGGTCATGGTATGTTTGGTCACTGTTTGTGCGGATGGCTGAACTTGACACACTAATGCATAGCAGCCCTTGACTCCACCCGGCTTAGGAGCAAGATGACAGTTTTATTTTGTTTTGTTTTGTTTTTTGCTTAATCGAAACCCTTTTTTGAATGATAAATTAGTGAGCACACTTTATGTAATCTCCTACACGTTTCGTCTGACAATAGCAGACTTCATCAAGGAGTTTTTACAAGTATGGTAAATCTTACCTATCTAAATATCTATTTTCGAGCTGTACGCATAGTGTGAAGCAAGCATTTGGGTCACAGGCGGCCCAACCTCACTACTAGAAAAGCGGACGTGACTCTTACCGTGTTGCGCAACGTTTTATATTTATATTCTATGTTGGTGTTCAACTGCTGAACACCAACATAGCGCTAACTCGCCGAAAACGCTTCAAAATGGCCTGAGACGCTCGGAATCAACAAAGAAAACAACAAAGCAATAAGGTAAGCCCATTCTATTTCAAAACAAGACATTTTTTTTCTCTCTTTTAAGGCAAACCGATAACATCCCATACAAACCTTTATAAATATAAAACGTTGCGCAACACGGTAAGAGTCACGTCCGCTTTTCTATTAGTGAGCTTGGNCATTTCTCGAAAGTTTTTCGGCGGTTAGCGCTTGGATTTTGAATGGATCTTCGATTGAATGACACGAGAAGAAGCGTCAACCTTTTGGTTTATCTCGTGTTCGATTTGGAAACCGGGCGATTCTAATTTCTGGGTGAAAATCGGCTTCGAAAGTAACAGTCAACGCATAATCTACCAAATCGCTCAAACTCGCCATTTAGAACCACAAAAACGACAATACACGGCAAGTGAGGTAGGTTTACATTTATTTTGAGCCTTAACACAGACATTCCTCGATATAAGTTTACGATATTACGACTCTTCAATATTTTCCCATACTTTTCTTTATATTTCGAACAAACCACCAGACACGCTTCTTGTATGGGCCCCCTGTGGGGTCACGATAACATCTATAACCCTCAAATACATCACGTACTCGTACATGTAACGAGACTAGTTTACCATTTACAAAAGTTTCCGAAAAAAAAATATTTGTTGAATTGTGGTGATAAAAAAGGCAGCGGAAGTGTATTATGCTGGCACATTTGCTGCTTACAGAAATGTTTTAAACGAGACCAGGACGCCTGAGCCCGTCGCTGCGCAACGAAACCCCCAAGAGTGCAATGTAACGTTTGGCTTTCACATTAACGCAGGAAAGGCTATAACTTTCAGGGAGAATAATGACAGATGCAGATGAAATTTGCTTGCAAAAACCAGGCAGTTGTACTGATAAAGGTTCTTA